CCCTGATGTGGTACCAATGTCCCTGCTCAGTCCAGAGTGGGACTGGATGCGCTGTAAAGGTCCCTTCCAACCCAAACCATCCCAAATTTCCATGAAACACAGGCTTTCCACTCCTGTTTTCGCAGAGGGAGCCGAGGCACCAACCTTGCAGACGCCCAAATTTAGGGAAGCCGCATCCAGCTCCAAACGGTGAAACGAAGGCAGCATTAAGAATGCAAAAAAATACTGCGTAAGAAAACGGGACCAAAAAACCCCATAAAAGCTCAACAGCCGATGTAAATTACAAATGAAAGATCCTCAAGGGCACCCCATGACGAGAGACTCAAATGCTTTTGGGGAAAAAAAAATAAATCAGAGCTGGCAGGGCTGAAACCACCAAAAAGGAGACTTAGAAATGAACGCAAATATCTGAAAAAAAAACAACTCAAAGCTTTTTATATTAATGATGAAATTCTTCCTATGGGAAGAGGAATTAGAGTTCCTGCTCTGTGTATGACTAAGAGTGCTTTCCCCCTGCAGTCTCTATCAGCAAACAGTGAAGTACTTTCCAGTAATAGTGAGAAAAGGTGTTAGAAAACATCTACTAGGAGTAGTATTTTTAGATAGAGCCTGGGCAGCTTGCTGCTGGGTTCCTAAAATAATCACCCGAGGGGTTATTTGGTCCAGAAAAGGTAATTTTGAATAGATTTTGGAACAGCCCGGACTGGAACGTGCTACCCAACGTGGAAGTAAAACAACTGAAATGAGCACAAACACCTCATCCTGCCATTGATTTATTCACAGGAACAGCAATGCTGACACAAGACTCAACTAATAAGAGATATAGGGAGAATTGCAGCTTCATGGATCAGAGGTCTTGCCAAATAAATCCTATTCTGTTATGTGAGAAGTCAGAGAATTCAATGTACGGTTTGGCTTTTCCCAGTTTAAGGAATTATATTAAGAATATGGAGAAGGCAAAGAAATCAACCATTAAAAATCCTCAGTAAAAGATGGAGAAGTTCAGAAAAGCTCAACCTGTTCAAGCAGTTTAAAAGACAAGATTGAGAAGTGCCTGGGTGGCTGTGTAGGAAAAAAACGGGTGCTCAAGTACTCCCTAATTGAATGAAGAACCCCTCGTACCAAAGGCAATGGGTGCAAAGGAAGCAAAATTCGTTAGACCTGAAAATGAGGCAGAAATTGCACGAGCAAATGCAATTGGAGGTGAATTTTCTGGTTTCTTCAGCAGCTGGTGTCTTTCTGGAAGATGCTTTAATGCGAGAGACGCCGCCAGGCTCCATAGAGGGCTCAGAAGGGGAAATGCAAGGAACCACATCATGCAACCGAGTAACGACAGCAGTCAAGGGCTGGTGGGACAATCTGGGTCGGAAGGGACCTCAGGAGGTCTCAAGGCCAGGGTCATGCTAACCTCTGCAGCCCGGTCCAGTTGGGTCTTGGTGTGGTTGTAGGGCAGAGAGGTTCTCCTGCCCCTCTGCTCTGCCCTGCTCACACCACAGCTGCAATCTTGTGTCCAGTGCTGGGCCCTCAGCTCCAGAAGGACAGGAACTGCTTGAAAGAGTCCAGCAGGGCCACAGAGATGAGGTGTGAATATGGCACCCATGGTGAGACAGTGGCCTTGCCATGTTTCCTCACCATACAAGTGCTATCACTTGGAGAAGTGAACTCTGTGGAGCATCTCCTGCTGAGGGAGCTGGGGCTCTTGAGCTTGGAGCAGAGGAGCCTGAGGGGTGCCCTCATTCCTGGGGATCCATTGGGAAAGGGCGAGTGTCAGGAGGACGGAGCCAGGCTCTGCTGTGGGATGTCCAATGGCAGGACAAGGGGCAATGGTCCCAAGCTGGAGCACAGGAGGTTCAAGCTGCAGATGAGGCCAAAGTTTGTGAGTGTGAGGGTTATGGAGCATGGCTCAGGCTGCCCAGAGAGGTTGTGGAGTGTCCTTGTGTGGAGACACCCAAAGCCCTGGCCGTGTTCCTGTGTGACTGCTCTGGTGATCCTGCTCTGGGGGGGTTGCACTGGGGGAGCTTTCCAGGTCCCTGCCAACTCCTCAGATTCTGGGATTCTGTGATTCCAGGCATGGAGGCAGCGCAGCCTCCCTGGGGCCCTGCTCAAGCATCCTCATGAAGGAGAAGTTTCTCCTCATCTCCAGTCCTATTTACCCTTACAGCTTTTAAATGATGTTGGGAACTGGAGGAGGTAATTACGAGATTTCTAAATGAAACACCTACTGAGAGCCAGCTGCTGAACGAACCTTCTGCATAACACAGCCTAGGAGATGCCATTAAAGTCATGGTGGGACTTGATGATCGTAAAGGCCATTTCCAACCAAGTAATTCTGTGATTTTAAGCTTCTCTCAAGCTCATAATTAAGTGGCACGGCTCAGGTTAGTATATGGGTCCCAAACCCATTGGTTTATCCAACCTGTTGTGGTTGCCTTCCCTCTGCTGCTCCACACAACACCACGTCCACGTCCTATGCATAATATATAATTAATTACGCTAATTCGTTATCACTTGCACCCTGTTTTTGTGGGATTATCACGACAGCTCATCCATAAACCCCGTGCTGCTCCCATTGGTGTCACCACCACCGTCTCTCCATTGCCCGTAGCCTTTTTGTCGCACCCTGTCTCAGACCAAATACTCCTTGAATACGGACAATGTTTTTCCGTTCACTTTATAGAGGCTCTTGTCCAAGAACGGAAAGAATAAATGTGTAAATGTGTTTCACAACACAGCCATCAACTACGAGCTCAGCTCTAGCAGGACTCTATTGCATATTATATATAATAATATGATACATATATTAATATATATGATATATTAATAACAGACCCTATTCAGAAATCCCAAAAATAACATATATTATAGAGCATATATCATATAATAGATGCTTTATATTATATATGATAAGATATATATGATAGGGTATCATATATAGATAGGATCATATCATATATCATATCATATCATATCATATCATATCATGCTATATTACGCTATATTATGCTATATTACATTATATTATATTATGCTATGCTATGTCATGTCATGTCATGTCATATCCTATCCTATCCCTATCCCTATCCCTATCCTATCCTATCCTATCCTATCCTATCCTATCCTATCCTATCCTATCCCTATCCCTATCCTATCCTATCCTATCCTATCCTATCCTATCCCTATCTCTATCCTATCCTATCCTATCCTATCCTATCCTATCCTATCCTATCCCTATCCCTATCTCTATCCTATCCTATCCCTATCTCTATCCTATCCTATCTTATCCTATCTTATCCTATCCCTATCCCTATCCCTATCCCTATCCCTATCCTATCCTATCCCTATCCTATCCTATCCTATCCTATCCTATCCTATCCTATCCTATCCTATCCCTATCCCTATCCCTATCCCTATCCTATCCCTATCCTATCCTATCCTATCCTATCCTATCCTACCCCATCTGATAAGCACAGACACCACAGGTCAGTGTGGTATCACCTGGTGAGGCAGCACCACCCCATGGGGGAGTCGCATCCTGTACCGCAGTGCCTAAAATCCCAGTTTATTTCCAGTTAAAGCTGGAAGAGCTGAACTGGCACCCAGAACAGCTGATGAGCACATCAAATACTTCACTAAATCCTTCCAAATCTTACGGGATCTCGATACTTTAACCTAAAAAAACCCCGAAATCCCATCGACCACCTGCCCCAGCAGGCAGAGCCGGTAGGGAAACGACTTTTTGCAGATTCCCTCTGTTCCCCTGATGCATTTGTAATGGTGAGGGAGTGAAGGGGGGATCCCAGAGCAGCACCAGGGGATCCCCATCTGGGGAGGAGGAGGACGACGCGAGGCATTTTGGGAGGCGCTGCCTTACTTTGAGGAGTTTCATCAGCCCCTCCAGCTGCACCATCAGCTCCCTGCGGCTCTCCTGCAGCGCCGACATCCTCTGCTCCAGCTCATCCTTGCGCTGCCTGTTGGTGCAGGAAGGAAAGAGGCAGAAAAATCAACGCCGGGTATGTCAGGAACTCACCCATATAAATTGTGTCTTTGGGTTTCATCACCCCCCCCTGCTTCCGATCCAAAAAAACCAGAGCCGAGCACGGCGCTGTGACCACAAATCCTATATAAACCCATCCAGGTTTTCGCTGAAAACCCAGATATCCACACTCAGCACCCTGGTAGCAGGATGTCCTTTTCAAAAGTGCTGCATTTTAACTAAAATAAACCCAAATAAACCAAAAACCTCCACTTTTTCTGCCCACCAACGCAACCTACAACCTTTGACATATTCACTCCTTTGACGTACTCACTGTACCAGCACCCGGGTAGCAAGAAGAGGGGATAATAAATGACCTCCCTATTCCCTGGCATCAGAAAACCCCAGTGTGTTCCTACAGGTGCCTGTCTGTTTAAGGAAACACGTACGGTTTTATTTTCTATTTTACAGAAATAAAGGAGTGACCAATACAAGGAGAAATCCAACAGCGTATTACAAATCCAGCACCTTCGATGATTTAACAAATGCTGGGCCCCACACATCACATGAAAAAGAGGAGATTAGAAAGGCTTATTGGTTAATCTACCGTTATTTCTGTGGGCGTAACAAGGCCTTAATCCAAAATTAAAGGCGCCGCGTGTTACAGACTGAATTTCTATGTGGCTTAGATTATATCTGCGTTGACCCACGATAGAGGATGGATGAACCATTCTGGGAATTTTAATAACAGGCTGGAGATCAGAACCAGGACAAGAAAAAGGCCACTTATTTGGGATGGGTAAATCCATTTGCCATGGGGACCCCAAAACACCGCCAATGCACAGCTCAACCAGGAAAATGCTACGACCACGCAAGAGAATCCCCTTTTCTTGAAGGGACAGAAGATGATGAGGTATTATCTGTCCTGGCCACTCATTTCAACATCTTAGTGCATTGTGAGGGATGTAGTTATTAAATGCCAAAATATATCACAAAACTAGGGTGATGTGCCATAGCTTTATCTGTCTGTAGGGTCCTTTTGGCCTCTTTAACTGATTTCAAAGTCCGTGGCTTTAATTCTCCAGTTATTTAATACAACGTGCTGGTTAACAGCTACAAAGAAGGTAAAAATCAACGTATTAAATACGCGCAGCTCCGCAAATGTACTTAACGAAGAACCAGCATGGATGTCTACGCCACCTTCATCTGAAAACCCTATCACTGCCCTGAGACTACGGCCCCACTTCCCAAAGTTTGGGCTCTATTCGTGGCGTGCGTGGCACGTGGCACTGTGCGGGTGTATCTGTGGGACGTGGAAAACACACCTCGCTATGCGAGGCACAAAGCTAGAAAAATCTACGAGCTATTTACCATTAGGATGAAAACCACCAGTGAGATACCAAAATGTGCCGCGAAGGAGCGAATTCTGTGTGAAAAAGTAATGGAAGAAGCTGAAAGCTTGAGATTTTTGCCATGTGGGGCTGGGTTACACCTCGCCCGCAGCCGCTCCATCCCACGAGCGCTGCGCCTTTGAACTGAGATATGTGTAAGAGTTATATCTATGCATACAGATAGAATTTTATCTATAAATTATCTACGTATGCATAGCTTTAGGTATTCATTTCCTTTACCGTAAAAGCCTGAGTTCAGCCAACAACGTGGGGTTCTGCTGGGCTTTCTCCGGCGTGGGCTGGGACGCTTGCTCGTGCTCCAGCCGCAGGCGCTGGATTTCCTGCAGTATCTCCCTACAGAAACGGCAGAGGGAAGAAGAAAAAGGTGAATTTCCGCACTTTTACGCAGTTTATGGCCCTTCCAGGGTGATTTTCCATCAGTCTCCACCCTAAAAACTGTGGTTTTCTTCATGTGTGGCTGGCACAGACTTGAACCCCAAGACAGGCGAGGTCTAGGAGCTGCTGTAACAGAAAACAAGAAAACCGATGGCTTAAGCAATACAAATATGAAACCACTCATGTGCCATATGCTGGCAATGCCTCTCCAAACCCTTTCATGTGCAATGGGCCCGGAAATCGTTCCAAGAGGGAAAAATCCTCCGTTTTCCGCACGCTGTGCATTGCAGGTGCTGCAGGAAGGACGGCTCTGCACAGCTGGAGGCGGGGGAACAGCACCGACAGCCAAGGACTCGCTTATTAACATGGAAATCATCAACTGATTTGGTTGGAAAAGCCCTTTGACATCACTGAGTCCAACCATGCCCCGTCCACCACTGAACCACGTCCCCAAGTGCCACATTGAACCCCTGCAGGGATGGGGACTCCACCACTGCCCTGGGCAGCCCCTGCCAGGCCCTGAGAACCCTTTTTTGGTGAAAAAAACCCCTATTTTTCCTAATATCCCATCAGATTTACTACTCTTCTCTGCAATCTGAAGGAATGAAATATGGGTTGTTTTTTTTTAGATGAAGCTGCATTTTCTTACCAAGCACCATTCCAGAAGCTTGAATTTTAAGACAGACATGAACAACCAGTCAGTATCTACCAAACTACGAAGCTTTGCAGCACACCCAAAATATGGGTTCACCTCCAGACCCACCTGAAGCAGCGTTTTCCCTGTGCTGATGGTGCTTGCATGGGGGTGTATGAGCAGCAGGACCACGCACGCCAGGTTGGGAGCATGGGGAGGACCCAAGCGTGGTGCTGGACATCACTGGAGAGGGTCCATGGGTGACCATGGGGTTCCTGAGCCCTACAGCACATGGGGCTTGCGCCGCTCCATGGTTTGCTCTGGGCAACCCAGGCCAGTGCTCACCACCTCACAGCCAGGAATTCCTGCCTTATATTTAACCTAAATCTCCCAAATTCCAGTCTAAAGCCATCCCCCCTGGTCCCATCGCTCCATCCCTTGTCAAAAGTCCCTCCCCAGCTTTCCTGTCCCCTTCAGGTCCTGGAAGGTGCTCTAAGGTCTCCCTGCAGCCTTCTCTTCTCTGCTCATGGCTGAACAGCCCCAACTCTCTCAGCTGCCCCATAGCAGAGCTGCTCCAGCCCCTCAGCATCTTTGTGGGGTCTCAGAATCCCCCCCTTGCACCCCTGGCCATGCTGTGGGGATGCAGCCCAGGATGTGGTTGGTTTCTGGGCTGGGAGCACCCATTGCCAGCTCACATCCAGAAGCAGGAAACCATCCCCTAGACCCCATCTCCTCCTTCTTCCTGGACCCCCAGTGTCCTCAGACTTTTTAAATAGGTTTCCCAGCGAAAAAAAAAAAGGCATCACAGAATGGTTTGGGCTGGGAGGGATGCTCAGCACAGGCTGAGATGATTTTAAGAAGACCATTGGAGATCAGCCGGGGGATAAAGGCACTGCAGAGGTAATTGGTTAATGAGGGAGCTACACCCTGGACAAAAACCAGAGACCAGTCTGGTTAATGCCACACAAAAGGTTAACACAGCAAAGCACGGGCACTAAAAGCTTTTCTCTCCTCAAACGCTGTGCTGATCTTTACCTGTTTTTGTTTTCCAGCTCCGCTATCAGCTGCCTCTGCTGCTTGTTGGCATCAAAGCTGAACCCCAGGTCCGCCGGCGGGCGAGGCTGGAGGACGAGGAACAGAGGGAAAATCAGGCAAAACACTCGTTACCATTCATTTTGCTACGATCTTCATTAAAAAAACACACCGTGCCTATCGGTTCCTAAAGCACTGACAGCTTCCCTGGGCAGAGACGCAGTTACACCATAATAATAAAGTCTTTTAGAGAAACATTGACCTTCCCACGTGTCACTGAGTGGAGAACAGCCAGGATATCCCACACACATCATCCCAACCCATCGCTGACAAGGGCACTCATTTAGAGTCTCATTTCCTCCTTGTAATACCCCAATTCTGCACGTTTTGATTAATGCTTACAAGTGCTTTGATGGCAAGGTCTCACCAGCAAGGTCGTCCACAGCTTTTGATATCAAACTGATATCAACTCACTGTGCTTTCTGGAGGTCCCAGTTTTCACCCTTTTCCCTCAGCAGCGATGCTGGGGTTAAATGAAGTCTCTTGGCGCACTGAGAGGTCGTGATTTGGTGTAAAATAAACCCAAATTGAGACTGTCCCAGCACCCAGGAGCTTGGTGCTGAGCTGCTCGGACTCATTTACAAGGGTCACTGCTTCTCCAGGGGTGTGCACCGGGCAGGACTATGGGTCTGGGGGAAACTGAGGGGCCAAAATGGCCCAAAAAAGGGCAAAGGGAGCCTGGCAAAGTGAGTGCAGGTACCAATGGACCACGCAGGTTGTGGATGTCCAGAGTGGTTGAGAGCTCTGAACTGTGGTGCTCTACCTCTGCCTTTTCGGATTCATTCGATCTCAGGATTGCTCAGATTTTTACCACAGCATTTTCGGAAGGACCTCATAGCGGGATTCTGGTTTGAGAAGAGACTTTCACAGACTTTTTTCGAAACTATTTGGGTCGAAAAACAGAAGTTGGAAGGAATCATAGAATCCCAGCGTGGTTTGGGTTGAAGGGAC